AAAGAAAAAAATTTCGGATTGATGAATGATTTGTGAGAAAAAAAAATTCGGATTGAGGAATTTTTTGTGGTTGGGGGAGCAGTCTGCAGTTGTATATATTGACCAAAACACGGATTCTCACAATCCGTGTTAATCGTTTTTTTTTTTTTAAACGTAACACGGATTTTGGTAATCCGTGTTGTCCAGTATTAATATTAAAATCCACCGACAGTTTCGACTTTCATTTTTAAAAAAAAAATTAAATGTAAAACAAAAACGGATTCTGAGAATCCGTGTTTCGGTTAAAAATTTTAATTAGAAACACGGATTTTCAGAATCCGTCCGTTTGATTTTTTTCCACAATTATTTTTTTTTTTTTTTTTACCACAGATTTTTATATTATTTTAAAAAAATAACCCACCCAACTTTTATTGTTACTGAATAATTAATTTATGGTTTATTTTTGTATTTGGGTCCGAAATTGCATTATTTTTTTCAAAATGTATAATAAACATGTAAAGGGTCTTTTTTCTTTTTTTCATGCCTACAGTTTATTACTAGTGGGCTTTTGTGACTAGGTCTGTACAATGATGGGTCAGGAACAAGCCCATTAGAATTATTTCGGAAGTTATGGTGGCCCAGCCCAGTACTTTCGCTACGCAAACACACTTCAAATTGACAAAAATAAAGTGGACTGTCTGTATTAATTAATATGAACAAACATGTCTGCATAAAACTTGAGCTGATTTAGAGGTTGAGGAATTTACACCCCTTACTCTAAAAAATTAATTTTATTACATTAATACTACACCTAGTATATATTTATTCATAATATTACGAGATCAGCCAAAATAATTTGCAATTATACCTAAGATATAGTAACAGCTGTTATATAGTAAATTCCTGACAACTTTAATTCATTTGATATTTGTTACAATGGCAGGTTGTGGTGTTTGAGTGAATGTAGGTTTATGTTTATTGCTATATGCATTTGAAGGTTTTATGTGTGATTTGATGTGTGGTAGATTGAATGAATGTGACAAATGATCTTGTTTTTTGGATCTGGCCGTGAATATGATTTTACCGATGCTCGAGAGGGAGTGTATGGAGATCTGGCTATTTGTTGGGTCTGTATTTGCTTAATCCATGTTGAGGGTGGTCTATAAAATTCCAGTTGTGGGTTTGATGGAGTGAGGTATATGTTTGGTATATTAGAAGATTTTTTTTTAAACGAATTTGACAAAGCGTAAATTAAATTTTTTATTTTTTTTGGTATATGTATGGTTTATATTAAGTATATCTCTGGTATATTTTTGTTACATGATAAAAAAAAAAATTATCATAATTTTTTATTTATAAAATCAGTATATTTTTTGTAAATATTCGGTATATATGCTGAAAATTGCATAAACTGATTGGTCTGAAATTTCGTTTAAATTAAGTAATCTATACAATATGTTTATAAAAGACAATATACATAGAAAATATATTGAAAATATAATAATTACAAAACGCAACATAAACTGAAAACATTCAATGAACTATAAAATAAAAAAATAAAAAAACGCAACATAAACTGAAAACATTCAATGAACTATAAAATAACAAAAATAAAAAACTCAACATAAACCCAACATATACTGTGTACTATATGCACAATATATTATTTTTTTATTTCTATGGTATATATTAAGTAATCTGTTATAATATGTTTATAAATTATATATATATATACCTTTATATAAAAGTCAAATAATAAATAAATAAAAAATAGAAAGACTTATTGTTTGATGAATGATATGTTTTTAATTAGCAACATATACTGAATAAGTGAATATACACCAACATAAACCAAACATATACCCACCAGGATAACACCCACCTCTGCTAAATATATACCAACATAAACTCAACATATGCCACACCTCTGCGCGAATTAGTATATACTGAATATATACCAACATAAACTCAACATATATCCATTGGGACAACTCCAAGAATTACGAAATTCAATGAGCTAGTTATTTATTATATGCATGTTTTTCATTTCTCTCTCTTAATCAAACCCATAAAAAGTGGGAGAGTATGAAAACGTGTCAGTTTTAAGAGGGGCGTAAATCATGGATTGAAAAAGTAAATGAGAGTTGACTTATTTGTAACTGATTTTTAGGGATTTATGTAGTATATTTTTACAAAATTAGGTAGATGTACAATATATTACATATGGATATGGATGGTATATTTGCAATATTTTTTATTTCTGGTAGGAAACTTAAAAATTTCCCTTAAAGGTTTTGATGAAATCAGATGACAAATTATACAACGTATAACTATTAACTTATTAAAGTAACCATCTTAAATCTACCAATTCAAACCAAGTTATATATTTAGAGTCACTAAAACTGTATATAAAAATACTCTTTTCAAGCCGAGTCTAAATCGACTTGTTAACAAAACGAGCTTTAAATGAGTTCGAGTTCGAGTTCAACTCATTTAAATTGGTTCGAGGACCTTAATGAGCCGAGCCGGGCTGAACCAACAAATATTTGTCGATCCTATAGTAAAGAATAGCGGGTAAGATTACTGCATAGGATCGAATTTATCCTTACAAAGCCAT